TCGCCGTCGTCGACTGGGCCTGGGAGGGGACCAAGGAAGCGAGTGGTTCTTGGAGGATCTCTGTGACTCTCTGGGATTATCCGAAAGATGTTTAGCCTTCGGCGATGCTGGAAGTTCCTAGAGACTTCAATAATCTTTCAAAAGGCTTTGGGGGGGCTTCCAGATACGCACCCCAGGAAAATTGCAGTTCGAGCGCGCCCAGGGGGGGCGAGATCCTACTGGATCTGAGCACGGCGACAACCCGCTGGAGTTCGCAGGTGTGCGGCAGACTGACGACAGCGGCGCGCCCGGGCGGCACCCTCCGAGGCCAAAAGCCTCGCCTCATCTGCGCCACGGCCCAACCCCTCTGGACCTCTCAGGGGCGCGGCAGAATGGCGACCGCACCCAGGGGGGGGCGAGAGAGAGAAACTGAGAATGAAGCGAGGAGAAACAGACGAGGAGACGACGATGAAGCGCGGGGACGGGGGAGGAACGGAGCCGCAGTGCTTTTTTGTCGGAGCGAGGCTCAACACCAAGAGCACCAACACCAAGAGCATCGATTCTCGATTGGCGGCAACGCTGGCGGCGCCGTCATCGTCATGGTCGTTGTCGTCCGCGTCGGAGGTCCAGGGGAAATCACGAAAGCCGCCCCAGAAGCTGGATCCCTAGCCCTCGATCGACGATGACGACGGCGACGCCGACGACCACGACCACGACACGATCACGACCACGACGTCAACGTCGACGCCGAAGTCGACGACACCGACGATGGCGCCGACGATGGCGACGACGACGACGACGCCGATGACGGGGACGACGACGGAGACGACGACGAAGACGACGACGACAACGAAGACGACGACGACGACCACGACGACGGCGACGACAACGACGACAACGACGATGACGAAAGACAACGACGACGACGACGACGACGACGACGACGACGACGACGACGACGACAACGACGACGACAACGGCGGCGGCGGCAGCGGTTGCGGCGGCGGCCGCGGCGACGCGATCACGCCGACGACTACGGCGGCGGCGGCGACAGCGACGAGGACAGCGCCTCGGTCACCGCCACGGCCACCGCGCCAAGCAGCAGGGAGCCCGCCGCGGCGCCCGCGGCCTGCCCGATGTGGCACACTCGCAGCTGCACCTGCGGGCTACCACGGCCTCCTCCTCCTCCTCCTCCTCCTCCTCCTCCTCCTCCTCCTCCTCCTCCTCGTCCTCCTCCACCTCCTCCTCCTCCTCCTCCACCACAACCACCTCCTCCTCCACCACCTCCTCATCCTCCTCCTCCTCCTCCTCCTCCTCCTCATCCTCCTCATTATGATCATCATTATTATTAGTACTATTATTATTAGTATTATTATTATTATTAGTATTAGTATTAGTATTAGTATTAGTATTAGTATTAGTATTATTATTACTATTATTATTAACATTATTATTGTTAGTATTACTATTATTATTAGCATTAGTAATATTATTATTATTAGTATTATTATTATCATCATTGTTAGTATTATTAATATTATTAGTATTAATATTATGACTAATATTATTATTATTCATATTATTATTACTATTATTAGTAGTATTATTAGTATTATTAGTATTATTAGTATTATTATTAGTATTACTATTAGTAGTATTATTATTATTAATATTATTATTAGTAGTAGTAGTAGTAGTATTAATATTATTAATAATATTATTAATATGATGAGTCCTCTTTTTATTCGTAGTACTATTACCCTTGTTATTCGTATCGTCATGATGATGAATATTATTGTAGTCGTATTATTGATATTATTATGATGGTTCGTTTGGTTCGTTTGTTATTGTTGTGAGTATTGTTCTTCTTATCCTTACGATTAAGAATAACAGTTTTACTCGTACGATTACTATTAATATGATTAGTCGTATTATGCTCACTGTTGTTACGATTAATAGGGGTAGGAGTATTAGTATTATTATTCCTCCTCCTCATCATCCTCCTCCTCCTCCTCCTCCTCCTCCTCCTCCTCCTCCTCCCCCTCCTTTGAGGATCGAACATCGAAGATCGTTTTACGCCCCACCATCTTGTGTCGACTTGGGTCCCCATTGTGAATCATCTTCGCCCCGCGTCTCTCTTCCTCATGCTACCCTGCCTCCCTCTGCTCCCCGCGTGCTCATTTCGGCATATCCCTCCCACTCTTCGTGGCCCCATTGGGAGCTCCAACGAAGCCTCCAGGGGGGGCTAGGCCACACAGCGTCCCTCAGCCTATGTCGGCACACCCCTCGCACATTTCGTGGCCCCATAAGGAGCTTCACCGAAGACTCCAAGGGGCCAGGCCACATAGCGTCCCCAGCCCACTTCGGCACAACCCTCACACGGCTCGTGGCCCCGTGGGGAGCTCCACCGAAGACCCCAGCGAGTGGACGCACCCAAGATCGAGACACCCGTCGTGCGTGTCGTCATCCCAGAAGGAGCTCCATCTAAGGCCCCCGTGGGTGAGTCTACATGCGGCCTCCACCCCACTTCGGCACACACATCGCACATTTTTGGGGGAGGGGCCTCGCCCCTCCCAGTCCTGCGGCGGCAATTCAGCACCATGCGTGCCGTGGCCGAAGTGAACCCGTGGCAGCAGGCCGGCGCCCTCCAGGGCGCCTCGGGCGTCGCCCAGGCCCTTCCAGCGTCCAGCACTGTGGCTGGTCGCGCCAGCCTGCGACTTCAAAGCCGGCATCACGCCGAGCTGCGGTGGGGCCCTTGCCACTGCCCGTCGTTCTCGCACTCGCCGGCCGCATAGGGAGTCCCATCCAAGGCCCCAGTGGGCGCGGCCACGTGCGCCACCTCCTGCCCATTTCGGCACACCCATCAGGCACTTCGTGGCCCCACAGGGAGTTCCTCTTCTTCGTCCCACCTGCCGTGCGGCACTCACACTTGTATAGGGTTGGGCAATTCGCTGATATGATATTGGGTTATATGATACGAATGTATAACACAGTTGTGCGCAGTAGAATGGAGTAACCATGCTGCATGATATGTTACCGCGTACACATGAAATAATGTAGTGTAGTATAGTACAGTATCGTAATACGAAGAATATACCGCAAATGCATTAGAATATCATAGGAAAGCAGGAACAGAGTAGAGTGGAGTAGCATACAATATAGTATACCATCGCATGCCACAGTAAGGTAT